TCCAAATTAAAAGCAAATGTGAAGTTTCTCATGACTTCCTGTTCGGAAGAAACAACGGTTCAGCATCTTGCCTAGATTCTTCTGACACAAAGAGGATTACGTAGCCAAAGCTTTTTATGTGTGCGGTGGGGAGGGAGAAAGGGAAGGGAAGAGAGGTGACCTTGGGCTTGGATTTACTATGACCCGCTTATGTGTTGGATGATAGCTGCCTCTGGGGATCTGAGGGACCAGATTTGAACAGAAAGTACTTGTAAGAAAACCTTTGGTATCAAATTTTATGCACACATATTACATTCTCTTTTGACATCCAAGTATAAACTATGAAATAATTCAGCCCAATTTCTGTAGGGTTAATCACTTGAAATTAAGTAAATAAAAAGAATATTCAATTAATCTTGTTTTTCAGTGCATTACATTTAAAAATAGAACTGGTTGGGGGGAATTTGATTCTCAAAAAAGGGTAGTTTTTATTAGCAAGGACTGAAGTTTTGACCCCAAAACAGACCTAATAATTTGGCATTTATAAAAATATGATTTTCTCTGTTTGGACTTAAAAGGTAGGTGGTGTGGGTTAGAAATTACTGTACTTACCTTAAAAATAGTTTGTAACCCAAACACTCTCTTCTAGGGCTATGAACAAATTCTCCTAGCATAAACTTCTAAGGAAAAACACTTTCATTTCCCTAAAAACGAGCACTTTCTCCTTTCTGGCTATATTAAATTCTCTGACTTTCTTCCATCTTCAGTATCTCATAGAAGAAAACTTTTATGGCTTTCCCTGGAGAATTGTCTTACAAATCAATGGCACAGCTTCAATAATTCTTCAATAACTTTTCTGTGTTTTTCCAAGACAAAGTGATCAGTGTTCTTCATTACAGTAAACCCATTTACAAGCTGTTGTGCAGTTTATAAATCCCTTGGTAAGAAACCAACTATGTATATTTTAAAATAGACTGTCAGAGCTAGAGGGAATTTTAGAGTCAATCTAACTGGGCTACACATTTGAATCCCCTGGAGACCCTTTAAAAATACTGATGTCAGGGTCAATGTGGGGAAAAGGGGGACATCTGTAAAACTTTCAACAATAAAAATAAATTTAAAATAATAAAATAAAAATACTGATGTCAGGTCATACTTCATACCAACGAATTCAGAATTTCTACAGATGGGGCCCAGGCATCTGGATTTTTAAGAAGGTCGCCAGCTGATTTGACGCATAGGGAGGGTCAGATACCCCAGATCTGGTCCAGCCACCTCAGTCTACCGGTGAGAAAACTGAGGCCTGGAGATGTTAAGCAACATTTCTAAAGTCACATAGATAATTAGTCACGTGGCTAGGGTTAGAGCCCACATCTTCAGATCTTTCTCTATTACATTTCCTTCTTTCATAACTCAATCTCTCCTTATGAAATTAGACGTCAGAATCTGAATCAAAAAAGGACCACAATTTGGACCCAATTCCCTGAGAGCTACCAGAGAGAACCCTACAATAGTCGGTCTCGCTGCTGCCTTTAAGCCCAGCAGTCTGCTGCTGTTGTGACAACTATATCATCCTGTGAGATGGAAAACACTCCCTCCTGCCATCTTCACCAGAAAACAGCAACCTAATTCTCAATCTATATTAATGGTTTTCTTTATTGCTTCCACCAAACCCTGCCCTCCGATGCTTCTCTTTAAAAGAAAATAATAACAACCTCCTTTTAAAAACTTCATTTGGTGGTAAATTGAATTTCTAGCGTAGGGATGAACTAAGAGCTTTCATATAAAGAAATGGCTTCAGGGCAACTTCTTCAAAAAGAAATCATTTGCTGACGGGTGGTCTGAAGCTGTGCTTTCAGGGAAAGCTGCCCAAGGGGCTGCAGAAATGGGGCAGAGAGCTGGAAATGAGCCAGGCCCCGCCAGTCCTGGGTGACGTGCTGCCCCCTGACCCCTTTCCAAGGTTCTGGAAGGGGTAGGCACCGGGCTTACTACCCCACGGGCTTAATGAACTCCTCCCCATACACACAACTTAAGGTGTGCGAACTCCTGGTCTTCTGCTTCTCCTGCCCGACCCCATGTGCATGTCCCCATCCTACTAAACTATTAAACATAACCAGGACAATGTTTTTGTTTTAATAAAAAGTAATCCTCTGGGGCAAGAAGAAAAAGGCAGAGAACCTGTGAGAAAGAGGTGCCAAAATCACAGCAGAGTTGAATGAGAACTGGACCAGGAGTCCAAAGACTTCATTCCAGCTCCCGACATTTACTTGTTACATGCTGGGGCAAGTCCACTGCTCTTGGGACAAGTCCATTTCTCAGGGTTTCACTCCTCATAGGGAAAGCTGGGGAAACACCTGTCCTGACTGACCCATGGGTTGTTTTTTGAAAAACAAACAGATAATTTACATAAAAACATTCTTATAAAACTACACATAAATGTAAGCACTACTAGAAAAATACAAAAGAGATTAAAAGAAACTTATATCACCAGATAAAAAGTTAAGACCAAATTCTTTTTTAAAAAAAAGACTTAACTATAGAACAATTCAGCAATATAATGTCATGATGAACCACCACGTCTGGGGAGTCAGAAAGACTTGGATTCACATCTTAGCTCTGTCAAGTTACCTCTCAGAGCTTCAATGTCCTCAACTATTCAATGAGGATTATGATAGCATGTCCTCTTGAAGTTTGATGAGGTTGACATGAGATAATCATGTAAAGAGCTTAGCTCAGAGGCTGGCACATGTTAAGTGCTCAAAAAAACATTAGTTGTTGGCTATTAGTGTAATCCTAATTATTGTTATTGTCATACTTCCCAATGTCACAGAGCTGAGATGAATGCTAGGGATCAGATATGTAAGGTGATGGCACATCGGAAGCTTTCAATACCAGGTGGTCATCATTTACTCTACTTGAGTCACCAGCTCTCCCTTTTGACAACTAGAAATACTGCTGAAGGCCACATTTGCAAACTCTACATTTTCTTTTTGACCTGGTCCAATTCTTCACAGGCTTTGAGGAATATCAGGTAGACTATGAAGGTCCTAGATAACCACCCTCACAGTTCAGTCACAGCTGTATCACCGTCTTCTCCAGGCCCCAGATGTTAAGTGTGTCTTTCAAGGTAAAAGCAGAAAGTGTCCCCTTAGAAGTAGTAGGTCCATGTTCTACAGTTAGTTGACCTTATAGCTAAATCAGGGTGTCCGGCGGGAATCCAGCCTATGTTAGAATTATCAGACATAACGGGCAAAAGCTACTTGAAGAGAAGTTACTTGAAGCTTGCAGCTATGTTCTAGAAGTCTCTGTAATTGACAATTTGTGTCACTGATCCTACCAATGCTTTCATTCGAATGAAGAAAAACGGGGGGAATCACAAAAAGGCAAAAACATTCACTTAATGTGAAATTTCATATAATATGTGAAATACATATTCACATGTAAAACAATACAACTAACATTCTCTATGGAAATGCCAAAAATATTAGTAGTGTTCCTGGGTTCTGTTAAAACAAAATTCTACAAGTAATATAGGCTCATGTGTAGAGACTCAGAAAAGGCAAATGAGAAAATTTTTAATGAATTAAGATCATCCCTAATAAAACTCAAAGAAACGATGCTATTAACATCTTAGCATAAAGTCTTTCACATTTTTCCTGTCCACGTATAAATAAAAATAAAACTTTTTCCCCAAAATGGGGGAATAACTCTAAGTCCTTAAAAAACACAGAAGAGGTTTAAAGACCTAATGAATTAAATAATGACAACTGGTTTCTCCTTTTGATTACCATGTAATTAAAATATGTGAAAACAAAAAGCTTGGCATTTAGTAATACTGATAGATAATATTTATAAAGCACTTATATTGTACCAGGCATGCACCTAAAATCATATATAAATTAACCCTTTAGTTCTCACAATGGCTCTAGGAAGCAGGTTCCTAAAGGCAAGGCACAGTGAAGTTAAACAACGTGCTCCAAGATCACACAATAAATAAAGTGCCAAACTGGGGTTAGCGCGGCCGGACGTGGCTCAGCGGTTGAGTGTCGACCTAGGATCCAGGCGATCGGGGTTCGATTCCCAGTCAGGGCCCATGCCCGGGTTGCGGGCTGCAGCCAGTCAATGACACTCATCATTGATGTTTCTATCTCTCTCTCGCCATCTCCTTTCCTTTCTCTGAAATCAATAAAGATTTTTAAAAAAACAAAAAACAAAAAAAACCTGGGATTAGAACCCAGGCAGTAGGGCTCCAGAGTCATGTTCTTAACCACCTTCCTATGCTGCCTCTCAGAGAGGTACAATATTATCACTATAGAATCAGAAAAGAGAAACTCCTTTATGCTTACCCATAACTTGTCAGCAAATGATATTTCGTGATTGCTGAGCTAATCACAAAAGCATCTAACATGCTGAAAATCACAACACACCCAGATAATCTAAGAAACAAATACTGATTAAAATAAACAGAACTTGCACTTCATAAGCAAAGATGAAAAAAACGGAAGGCGGGATGTTGGTGTCAAATGCAGACAACACAAGTTTTCTTCAAGGACTCGCTGTCTATGTTTAGCTTTATTACTTAAAGTTTAGGCTGCCAAGAATTTTTTTAAACGTTGATACATCTGTGGCTGCATCTCCCCANAATCTTGGAAGGCAGGATGTTGGTATCAAATGTAGACAACACAAGTTTTCTTCAAGGACTCGCTATGTTTAGCTTTATTACTTAAAGTTTAGGCTGCCAAGAATTTTTTTAAACGTTGATACATCTGTGGCTGCATCTCCCCAGAACACCATAACCTGCAGTCTTACCAAAATTAAATAAAAGGATTGACTGTCCTCCAGCCCAGGATTCCCTCACAACACCTTTCAATGGTTTGAGGCTTAATCCATACAAAACATGGTCCCAATACATTCTGCCCTGGGTAGCCCTGCTATGGCACACACCCTCATGCTAGGTAGAAAGACAACAAACTTAAAATTGAGACACTTGGCTCCATCTGATTCCTGACACTGTCACTTACCAGCTCTATGACTTGACTTTCTCTGGCATGATTTCCTCCTGTGTTGAGCAGAACCAATGCTGCCTGACCTCCACGCATTGCTCCTAGAAGGATCCAATGGATAAAATGTGCAAAAGCATTGTGTAAGGTGGTGTCATGGCTCTTTCCAGAAGTGATCAAAATGCCTCTCAGACACTGAATGTCTCTAACCAAAGTAAAACTGCTCAAAAATACAAGTTTGATCACATAAGTGATATTATTAAACAAATGAAGTGCTGCACTTTTTTCTACCAATATCTGAAGACGTCTAAACTGACTTTAAAAAGGGAATAAGCAGAAACATCTTATATTCTATTTCATACCACAGCTTCTCACAGGTTAACAATAACTCAAGTTTAACTACACTCACCTTTGGCCAAGAAAAATAATGCAATTAAACTGTTCAAAACTACACATGTTCAACTGCTCTTTTGGTTTGCTCTCATAGGAAACTACAAAGCTGGAATGACAAGGGAATGTCTGTGGACCACTGACTGTATTTTTTAATAACCAAATAATATATAAACATATTCTCAATTTTAAAAATATACAGAGTAAACCAGAAAACCCACCTGTCTTCACTTCCCAGAGGTAATCAACCGTCCATCTGTCTGGTGTGCATCCTGCCAGACTTCTTTCTACGAATTGACGATATGTGCGTATATACAGAAATCTCATTTTGTTTTGTTATATGATTGGGATCAGATTTCAAGAATTGCTCTGTAACTTGCTTTTTTGACTTTTTGTAGATGATCTCATGTCATGCATGCCTACCACCTCATTCTTTTTAATAGCATATGCTTTCTGTTAGGTAAATACCCCAAGCTTCACTTAACCCTACTGATAGAAATTTGGTGGCTGCCAATGTTCAAAACTACAAAGCTTTGCTGAACTTTTAAAGTTAAGTTGCTAATGGACTCCGTTTGATTGCCTCTCTCCAAATTTCACCTGAAGCCCGATTCCAGTAAAGTTCTTTCTAATATCACCTTCTTCCCAGTGATAAGAATTGGAGCTCTTTTTTGAAAATAGTGTGAACTCAATAGAGCCTTTTAAAGAAGAGGCTAAAGAGAGGGTTAGCAGTCTAGACACAATGCTAACTCTTTCAAACTGCATTCCTCATCCATTGTTATTAGCATTTGTTCAATCAGTGCTATGTTTCACCTGCAGAATGAGCCTCTCTACCTGTGGGCTTCCTGTGCTGTTAAGCATTACAAACTTCAGCCTCAACACACACACACACACATACCCCAAGGAAAGATAGCATGCATGTGAAAAATCTCAGCGCACCATTAAGCATGGTCTTGGATTCTATAAAACAAAACTCAACAAAACAAACAACCACTAAACAGAACTACATTGTTAGAATCTTCTACAAGATCAAAACTATCTTCACTTGGAATTTCCAAACTCAAACATTTGTTGATTGCCTACTATGTGCTGAGAGAGGCTCAAAAGTAGCAGAAGATATAATCTCTGCCCTCCAAACGCTATAAAACAGGGAGATGAGGTTTATATTAATAAAAAAATTAACTAACAATACAAAGTAGTCCATGATTAGGTAAGTAAATATATGGCAGAGGCAATCAGTGCTCTAGGAGGAGTTCTCAGTGGCAGTAAATCAAAGGAAATAACATGAAACAAGTCATTCTGAGCAGGGCCCTCAGCACTGCAGTGAGGGCTTAAAACAGGGAGTCAGCTGATGAGAGCTATTTATTATATGACCATAAAACAGTACTTCTGACTGTAAGAGACACCTGGACAAATGAATCTAAGTATAATTGTACATTTGGTAGAAATAGCACCAGAGGAAATAGTGCTATAGTAAAAACCAATTAGGTGCCTCTCAACACAACCCCAAATGCCCAGAATCCCCCAGCCCACACGCCTGTGCAGGCCACACAGGCTGCAAAAGACTTCTCTGCAAAGCCTTCTTGGAGGAATCAGAACTTAAGTTTAGGCACTTTTTTCTCCTGAAGGCTGATTGTGTGTAAATACATTCAAAACCCATCACCAAGCATCTACTATACCCACATAAAGACCAGATTGAGAAGCTACATGGTCCCTACCTTGAAAGCACTCACAAGCGTGCGTATGACCCACTGCAACTCAACGGCATCCTGAACCCACCGCCCCGCCTAGTCAATGAACTCATTAAAAATAAGAAAAAGTGACAGGAGAATATGTATATTTCTGTAGACTAATTTAAAAAAAAAAAAACAAACTATAAAAGATTTCTTGTTTTAACTTATTTCTATCATGTTGAGGCTTGGTTTGGTCTAAGGGCCTAGTAGTTTCTCCCAACTCTACGCTAGACGTTTGTTTCGAGTACACGGAGAGGGGGCGGTCTGAATACTGTCTCTGGTAGAAGCAGCAGAGGCAAATCGTCGCTCAGGAGCATTACAGAGAAAATGGGAGAAGCAAGACACTGCAGTCTGTCTCTCACTAGAAGTCAAGCAAACAGAAGAAACAAAGTGTCCTTTGATGCCCTGGCGGGGCAGCGATGGCTGTGGCACAGAACGGAGCTGACGAGAGGCAGGCACCACAGGCTGGTTTTACAGCAAGCGCGACCCCTTTAGGTCGCCTGCCATCAATTGTGGGTCCCGCATAATAGCTGACTGTATTATTTTTTCCCCTGAGAATAGACCTCTGTTCTCACACAGTACTGCTCCTTTGAATGTTCCGTTCCTAGTTACTATGCTTAAAAGAAAATCACAGCCCTGGCCGGGTGGCTCAATTGTTAAGCATCGTCCCGTGCACCTAAAGGTCTTGGGTTCGATTCGAGGTCAGGGCACATACCCAGGTTGCGAGATCATGTACAGGAGGCAACCGATCAATGTCTCTCACATCGATGTTTTTCTCTCTCTCTCTCCCCTTCACCCTCTCCCTTCCTCTCTCTCTAAAACATATTGTTGGGTGAAGATTAAAAATAAAGGCACTAAATACTATATTTGTTCAAAACAAAGAAGGAATCAATTATTAAAACATCTTTTCTAAGAACTCACCAATCTATAAATAAAACATGTTTGGAAAATAATTCTGTTTTCCTGACTCTGCTGTTTTTACTTTCAGTAGCATTCATTTAAAAGGCACCACTTCCACAACACCTTTTCCAAAAATGAGACTCGCTAACTCACTTGCATTCAAGCCACTCTGCTAAGGAAGGCGGCTCTACTCAAGAAAACATGTGTTAATAATAATATTCCATAGCATGAACGTTCTCACCAGAAGCATCAATTTGTGTGATGTCTTTAATACTGGCTCCATTCGTGCCCACTGTCCACCTGTGCAAATATCTAAGTGATGGCTGATATACAATATGTAAATCACCCCAAAAGAGAATCACACAGAGAAACCTTGAATTATATATCCAAGGGTATCACTCCCAAAGACACAAAAGGTCTGACCGCTTAATCTATTTTGTGATAGATTTGGAACTTAATTGTCAGATTCCCTAAAGTAGTTTTGTACTAAATGATATGCTTAATTCCTTACAAAAGTGGCATCCTTGCCATGTAAGCTTGGTTCATTTCCCCTGCTTTCCTTGTTTATTGTGCACCACGCTGCAGTGACACTGTGCCTGCCTTCCCACCCCTGAAATGCACCAGCTCTGTCCCTCCTCACACCTACACAGACAATTCCCTCTATCTAGAACATCCTATATACCCTTCCTCGCCAGTTCAATCCAATTCACCTTGCAGATCTCAATTCAAAAGCCCCTGTCCAGCCTTCCCTAACTACCCCACCCATCCCCCAAGTCTGGATGAGATTCCCACATTGTGTAGGTTCTTGTAGCTTCCTGCGCTTTCCCTCAGAGCACTTATCACAGTCTGTAGAGTAATAATATAACTGTGTGGCTCTTGGATTAATATCTATCTTCTACACCAAACTGTAAGCCCTGTTAGGACAGAGAGACTGGCTGTTTTGCTCTCACTGGATTCTCAGAGCCTAACACAATGCCTGGCATATAGGAGGCACTCAGTTTTTTGCTGAATGAATTAATAAGCAAGCCCTATCAAGTTCTGACACCCTGCCACAGTAAGTGATCAGACCAAATAAGGAAGCGGTGAAGAGGTAAGGAGTCTGCTCTGAATCTGCCTGGTCAGCTGGCTCAGCATAGTGCTTTTAGGTTGATTCTTCTTGGTGAATTTGGTTTCTCTAGGTCTGTGCTATGACCGTGACCCTGACAAAGAACTGACCCTAAGGTTAGCATAATATAACAGAAGGATTAGGCTCAGCATAGTACAGAAAACCCCAAATAGGCTTACACAAGACAGATGCATATTTCTCTCTCGTTGTAAACAAGGTCTAAATAGAAAGTTACCCGGGAATGGTACGGTGTTCTAGTGATAAGGACCCAGGTTTTATCTATCCTACTGCAAAACTCACCTCAGCATCCACTTCATGTTCTACTTCATGATCCACAATGGCTGCTCAAGTCCAGCCATCGCATCCAATTCCAGGCATCAGAAAAAAGGGAGGGGGCAGGGTTAATGAAGGGTGACGTTCCCCCTTTCTGAAAATTTCACACTTAAGTCCCTTAGTCAGAATGTAGTCACATAGCCATACCTAGGGGCAGGGGAAGCCAGAAAATATAGTCTTTATTCCAGGAGAAGCTAATATTACTTATAAAGAAAGGAAGGCTGAATACTGGGGACAATCAGCAGTTTCTGCTACAGACTGCAAAATATTCGAGGGGACCTAGTTTGCTGTTCCTGGTAACAGCAGGCCTCTCCTCAAGTGGACATTATCTAAGCAAGTAAGACTGACCAAGTGGGAGGAGAAGACCTGTATATTCAACAATGAAAAGAAATTTGAGCGCCGACATGAACAAACAAGTTAGTATCCATGCAAGATAACCAAGCATCATCGTCATGAGTTGTGAAACATGTTTTTAGTTTTGCTTCGATTTTAATTTGGATCTTCATAAAATTTTCGTATCATCTACACTGTCCCAGAAAGTCGACTTAAAGTTTCACATTTTATATTCCTGCCGGCTCTACTGCATACCTTCCTTGCTTTAGTAACCAGTCTTTGGCCGTTTCCATCTCCTGATGGGTTTCAGACCTCAAACAGGAGATAAAAATGTGACCAGGTGGACGCTTACGTAAAAACCAAATGCAACCAGTCTGATTCTTCTCAAATGGTTTCAATGTGGGTTTTCAGTCAGATAAAGGGCTTTTCATTTTTGTGCGAATCTCTCAAGCACACTCCCTTATGTACACTTGGATCATATGATTTCTATATTTTCTAAAATACCAATGGTTGAACTGTTAGGTACAGGAGGAAACTTACATAGCAATATATACTCAGGAAGTAAGTCAAGCCAGATTGATATCTTCTTTAAAAAAAAAAAAAAAAAGAGCTGTTGAGACTTCAACCATTAAGCTGCCAGCATTTCAGAAATTAAGAGAAAGATCTAGGCAAGAAGCAAGATGGGAATCCCTCAAGCTGTTCTCAGAACAACAACGCAGTGACAGCTGCTGGAAGCATAAAGGAAACCTGCTCGGAAGCGCTGGGGTGCTGCCTAACTCGCTTCCAGCAAGTCTTTCCCCGAGGGTGACAAAGCTCTGTGCCCAGTTTAGACTGAGTGTGGCTGCATCAGTCTTGAAGCAAGTTTTTTGATTAACCACAGCAGCATGTGGCAATGTTTTACTGCGGATAACAGTCATCTCAGAAAGACAGATCCGAGGCCACGGTCCC